CGCCCAGGCTGGAGTGCAATGGTGCTATCTCGGCTCACTGCAGCCTCACCTCCCGGGTTCAAGTGATTCTCCTGCCTCAGCCTCCTGAGTAGCTGATGAGATTACAGGCGCCCACCACCATGCACCCGGCTAATTTTTTGTATTTTTAGTAGAGACAGGGTTTTACTGTGTTAGCCAGGATCTGCTGGCTGACCTCGTGATCCACCCACCTCAGCCTCCCAAAGTGCTAGGATTACGGGCATGAGCCACCGCGCCCAGCCAACAGTTGATTTTTCTGCAGACAGAAAGCTGCGGCCCGTGTGCAGGGCTGGGCGATGGCTCTGCTGAGCCTGGATTTGCTGCTTCTCTGCAGGGGAGGCAACAGGAGCTCTGTGGTGTCTGTGGGTTCCACTGAGGGCAACAGCAGAGGCCCTGAGGATCCAGCAGGGCTCATGGTGGTCTCAGAGGACAGGTGAGGCAGGAGGAAGGAGCCCGAGGGTGCAGGAGGGAGTGGGGGTGGAGTTGTGGCTCTAGGGAGGCTGCTCGGCCCTCAGAAGCTCGGACAGAACAAGCGGCTCTCACCAGGCTCCCTTGAGGAGCCCTGCCTGTGACTCTGAGCCCTGCCAACTTCACGTGCTGACGCGCTTCCCGGAGTACGAGCTTCCGCACTGCTGAGATTCCCGGGTGTCCTCCCAGTTCCCGAGCTTGTGGGCTGGTTGCAGCTGCCGGAGCCAGAGACAGCTCTCAAGCCAGACCAGGCCTTGCTGGGGGTGCAGTTCTCCCGTTCTCCCCGCTACCGCCCTCGCCAGCCCCACGGGCCCTCACAAACCCGGCCGCTCCCGCTCCTGCCTCCGCTCCAGGCTGTGGAGTATCCGGCCAGCATGCCACAAGGAGCTGTGTCAGCACGTTGCCAGCACCAACCAGCCCGGTTTGCCCACATGTCCTTGGCCCAACATGGCTCACACCAGCTCGGCAGTCTGGGTGCTGCCATCTGCCCTGGACCCTAGCTCTGTGGGTTTTGGAGGCAGCCCATGTTGGGGCTGGTTTCTGGCTAGTTCAGCTCCAGGGCCTCAGCTGGGTTTGCATGCCATGCCTGGGTCCTGCGACACAGTGAGCCACATACTCACGGAAGAGTGGGCACAGGCATCTGGAGGTGCCGTGGGAGGATGTCAGCTCTGCCCCCAAGATGTGAGCAGAGCCCTGAGGGCCGTGGCTCCTTGCAGAGTCTCTGAGGAGGGAGACTGTCTTGAGTCACAGCTAAAGGGATGGGCTGTATTTGTTCCTGTGCTCCCTGGCTGTGGGATGGGGTGCAGTGACCCTGTGGACCCGCTGTGTGGGGAGCTGACCCTCCGGAGAGAACGCTGGGACACGGCGCAGCTGCCCGGAGCCCTGGTGTCATGTGCTCTGGGGAGGCGAGGGAGTCACTGATACCTTTCCCGTTTTGCAGAGGCAGCTGATGAGCACATTCCTGGGCTTGGCTGTTGCTGGAAGGTGGTGGGGCAATGTCCAAAACCTCTCTGGCTGGACTGCTGGATTAGTAGGGAGACTTTGAAGGCTCTGGGGGGAGGCGGTTAGGGCTTAGCAGCCTGGGACTTCCCAACCCTCTGTCTCTCCAGGTGCCAGGGAGCCACTGGCCTGGAGCCTAAAACTGTGATTGCCAGACCTAAGTACTATACCCTGGGGGTCCTCTGACCTCAGGGAGGGAAGGGCCCTTCTGGCCCGAGGCTGACCCTCCTGCCTCCTGCCGGACTGCAGTGCGACCTGCACTGACTTTTCCCTTTTATTTTTTTTTTTGAGACGGAGTCTCACTGTGTTGCCCAGGCTGGAGTTCAGTGCTGTGATCTCAGCTCCCTGCAACCTCTGCCTCCTGGGCTCAAGCGATTCTCCTGCCTCAGCGTCCTGAGTAACTGGGATTACAGGCATGCACCACCACACCCGGCTAATCTTTGTATTTTTAGTAGAGACGGGGTTTCACCATGTTGGCCAGGCTGGTCTCGAACTCCTGACCTCGGGTGATCCACCCACGTTGGCCTCCCAGAGTACTGGCGTACTGGGATTACAGGCGTGAGCCACTGCACCCGGCTTAAGCAGACTTTTCTAACAGGGTCTCCTGAGTGCTTTTGCAGAGCACTGCTGGTTGCATTCACTGGACTTTTTTTTTTTTTTTTTTTTTTTGAGACAGGGTCTTGCTTTGTTGCCTAGGTTAGGGTAGAGTGGTGTGACTGTAGCTCAGTGCAGCCTCAAACTCCAGGGCTCAAGCAATCTTTTGCACCTCAGCATTCCAAGTAACTGGGACCATAGGCACGCCCGGCAAATTCTTTAATGTTTTGAAGAGAAGGTGGTCTTGGTCTCCCTATGTTGCCCAGGCTGGTCTTGAACTCCTGGCTTCAAGTGATCCTTCCACCTTGGCCTTCCCAAGTGCTGGGATTACAGGCATGAGCTACTGAGCCCAGCCAGGCCTCACTGGACTTTTAAAAGTTGGATGGTAAACCTTGTGAATTAGATGTTCTAGTTCATCCTCCAGAAGGCAGAAACTTAAAATCATGCAAATTAGGTCAATTTGCAAGTTCATATGGACCAAGAAGAATCAGGGACAAAACTCCATGAAGACAGGTTTTGCTCTGACGTCATGCTGCAAGAGCAGCACGTTCTCCCCACGGTGAGCAGGTACGACTGTTTACGGCCAGCTTCTGATGGAAAGTTCCAAGGGTGAGGAGCTCCAGGGAGTGTCCATCATGGCGTAGCACACACGGTTCCCACATCCTTATTAGAATAAAAGGCACAAAAATAGCTTTCAAGGGATCTGTTGTGACTGGTGAGGCTTCGGGCACCAATCCCTTCGGTGATCCAGACAGAAACCCCAAAACCAAAAGCTCTGCATGCTCTCAGCTCACCTTCAGCAGGAGGGACACAGGGGCTTGCTTGGGGTCGCCAGACAGGCTCACCCGATGGGCCTGCCCCCACCGCGTCTCTAGCCTGAGGCCCGGTCACTCCTGGAAAGGGCGTTCCTTCTGGTCACACTGTTGGTGGCAGCTTCATCCAGCGTGCTTTCATCTGATCCTCCGAGGGGGGAGGGCAGACAGAACTTTCCACAACATGAGAAAAGGCAATCTTCACATCAGAGGAGACTCTGTCTCCTGTCTCCAGTGTAGAACCTTTCGTCTCTAGGCTTCACGTAAACAAACCAGAAAAGACGACCTTGCTCCTCCCAAGTGACCCGGAATTCCTACCATCCGCACCTTTCCCTGAGTCCCTAGAAATGCAGCCACGCTGGGAGCCCACCCCGCTCCGGGTGTCTGCAGGCCTGGGCCTGGCTAGAGGCTCCAGGGCCACTCTAGTGTGTGACGAGAGGTGGTGTACCCGTGGCGAGGGGCCCGGGGCAGGGGAGGGGGCAGTGGGTGTACCTGGGCACCAACGCAGGTCAAGGAAACCTCTGCCAGGCAGGGACCCTCCGTCAGGGCCGCTTCTGCAGCAGCATTTTTCTTTTTCTTTTTTTTTTT